CTAACAAAAATGAATGAATGAATAAATGAATGAATGATCAAATAAATAAGCTTTTGAATGACTAACGTGAAACTACTGGAATCAAGTAAAGCCATTTAGAGCTGTCTCAACAACAATCCCATAAAAGCCCATGTGTGAAGTCACATGATCACAACCTCTCTCTGTCCCAAAGTGTCAACAAGGAAATCATCTTGTGTCCAATTGAAAAGGAGCCCCAAATACACCTCCAGTATCTCTTCCTGGTGATGTGGTATTGGCCTGAGGTCAAGACAGCCTAGATCAAAGGACAGACCTGTGGGACACAACTTGTGAGTCAGCAGCAAAATGTTGCCGCCTGTTTTTTCACAGTTGCACTTGGAGCAGTCTGAGCTGTCATTTCATTATTATTATTATTATTAGTAGTAGTAGTAGTGGTAGTAGTAATAGTAGCATTCTACAGTGGCACTTGTTTCCCATTTCAGTGATCGTGTAAACACGAACCATTTCTTTATCACTTGACTGGTTGCCCAGTACTCGCATCCTCAGCCTCATAGCCCCTGCTTACTGGGACTCCATGGATGGTGGCCTGCAAGATAAATCATGCTGGGCAGTGTGGTAAGGAAAAAGTGTGATGTGTACATTTGGGCAGCCATACCTGTGGGAATGTGACGAAACAGACAAAACTGAGGAAAGTATTTGATGATGGTATATAACCTTAAATTCAAGCCTGATTTTTTTTACAACAAAATTGGGCAAATATATGGTACTGTGCACAAGTCTAGGTAGTCAAAGAAAATGTTTAAGGTTAATTATCTGGGAAGTAAGTGTATAGGTCCTACAGAATAAAACAAACAAACAAAAAAAATTAACATTATAACATACAGAATTTAACAGCAACACAATAAAAAAACAAACAAGAATTTTTTTCTGTTCTCCAGAAAGCTACTGATATGTTAATGCTAGCTAGATGAGAACCACTATGGTCCTAAACCTCTTCTCAGGGACACCCCAGCATTTCCATATATTCGTTAAATTTCTCCACCAACTTGATGAATTAATTAATTGTTTAAATAATTCAATGAAGTATTGATTAGCCGCACAAGGTGAGGTAGTGGTTGAAGTAGACACTGGTGTATTGGACTGTTGTTGGACTGTTGTTGATGTTAGGAGAGGTTCTAAAATGAGGAAGCTGACACCCTGATATATCATAGTTTTACACCAACATGAAGATCATTCAAGCATAATTTTCTTTGACTGCCTAAGACTTTTGCACACCATCTCTTTAAACAATCTAATTCACCATTTGTGTGTAACCACGAAGGAGTACTAATTCCAAAACTGGTGCATCACTACTTGACTGTGCTTGTGAGCGACATATGTGGGAAGTGCACGCATTGAGACACAAAACACTTACTACAGTAATTTTATATGGCATCGCCACGTGCCACGAGGAAAGACTGGTAACGAGAACCTGTTGAATGAAAGTTACTGAAGTGGCAGAGTTCCGGATGAGTCTTCCAGCTGGTTGTGAGGTGGAGATCCGTGGGACGTGTTACAGGGTCGTTAGATCCGACACAGGAGAAAACTCCAAATTCACTGATTTGATAGTGCCAAAGGAGCAGAAATACTCCATATGAAAAAAACAAAAAAGACGGGTATCAACTTTTATTTACTTTGGCTTTTGTGCTCAGTGTAAACATTTGGTTTATGTTAAATGGAATTGGTCAATTAAAGATCATAGAAGTGATTTATAGTCTATGCATAGTTTATAGGCAAAGGCAAACTGTTGTCATTTCGGTCTCGGATGAGTACTAGTTCCGCACACAAACTCACGGCAGGGACACCTCGACAGAACTCCCTATTATGGGGCTCCTCTGCCATCCATCTTTCTGTCTCAGCAACCCTGAAAAATTATTTTCTATATTTCTTCAGATTTAACATGGTAACTGGGGCTGAGCCACCAGACCTGTGGTCATATTCTAAAAATACGAAAACAGGAGGTAAGACAGCTGGCATAAAGCCTTTAAGTCATTTCCAGCCGTGACTCTGAAACCGAGGCACTCTATAGCTGTCTACATTTTCAGGACATTTTCTGTGTTAACGCGCAAAAAGAGGTTTATAATAATTAAAGTGCCGATTCCATGGTAGCTAGCTAGCTTCCCTGGTATTTGCACCTACTTTCTTCCTATAAGTCTTGTTCTGGTTTTTTTGCATTATATAACCAATAAATACTGAACACATACCTTGCGAGAGGTTTGTTTTTTTAAGCAGTTTGAAGTTTATCTTTGTCATTTCCAATTTTTGTATTTGTACCAATTCAATGTGACAAGATCTGTACAAATAGTGTTAGAAAATGATTTGGAATTAGAGTAAAAGATATGATGAGTATAGACTTTCTATAGTGTAGTATAGTCAGTACTTGAGGAAAAGTTAATATGCACCTAAGGGCAAATCACAAAATTTGTATGCCCACCCCATACAACCCGCAAATATACAGCCAGGTCCATAAATATTGGGACATTGACACAATTGTAATCTTTTTGGCTCTATACACCTCCACAATTGATTTGAAATGAAACGAACAAGATGTGCTTTAACTACAGACTTTCAGCTTTAATTTCAGGGTATTTACATACAAATCAGGTGAACAGTGTAGGAATTACAACAGTTTGTATATGTGCCTCCCACTTTTTAAGGGACCAAAAGTATTGGGACAAATTAACAATCATAAATCAAATTTTCACTTTTTAATACTTGGTAGCAAATCCTTTGCAGTCAATTACAGTCCGAACTCTGGAATGCATAGACATCACCAGACGCTGGGTTACATCTCTGGTGATGCCCTGCCAGGCATATACTGCAACTATCTTCAGTTTCTGCCTGTTCTTGGGGCATTTTCCCTTCAGTTTTGCTTTCAGCAAGTGAAATGCATGCTCAGTCGGATTCAGGTCAGGTTATTGACTTGGTCATTGCATAACATTCCATTTCTTTCCCTTAAAAAACTCTTTGGTTGCTTTCACAGTATGCTTTGGGTCATTGTCCATCTGCACTGTGAAGCGCCGTCCAATGAATTCTGAATCATTTGGCTGAATATGAGCAGATAATATTGCCCGAAACACTTCAGATGTCATCCTGCTGCTTTTGTCAGCAGTCACATCATCAATAAATACAAGGGAATCAGTTCCATTGGCAGCCATACATGCCCACGCCATGATACTACCACCACCATGCTTCACTGATGAGGTGGTATGTTTTGGATCATGAGCAGTGTCCTTTCCTTCTCCATACTCTTCCCAGCACTCTGGTACAAGTTGATTTTGTCTCATCTGTCCATAGGATGTTGTTCCAGAACTGTAAAGGCTTTTTTAGATGTTGTTTGGCAAACTCTAATCTGGCTTTCCTGTTTTTGAGGCTCGCCAATGGTTTAACATCTTGTGGTGAACCCTCTGTATTCACTCTGGTGATTCCTCTCGATTGTTGACTTTGACACACATACACCTACCTCCTGGAGAGTGTTCTTGATCTGACCAACTGTTCTGAAGGGGTTTTTCTTCACCAGGGAAAGAATTCTTCGGTCATCCACCACAGTTGTTTTCCGTGGTCTTCCGGGTCTTTTGGTGTTGCTGAGCTCACCGGTGCGGTCTTTCTTTTTAAGAATGTTCCAAACAGTTGATTTGGCCACACCTAATGTTTTTGCTATGTCTCTGATGGGTTTGTTTTTATTTTTCAGCCTAATGATGGCTTGCTTCACTGATAGTGACAGCTCTTTGGATCTCGTATTGAGAGTTGACAGCAACAGATTCCAAATGCAAATAGCACACTTGAAATGAACTCTAGACCTTTTATCTGCTCCTTGTAAATAAGATAATGAGGAAATAACACACACCTGGCCATGGAACAGCTGAGCAGCTAATTTGTCCCATTACTTTTGGTCCCTTAAAAAGTGGGAGGCACATATACAAACTGTTGTAATTCCTACAC